CCCCAAAACCCCAAAACCCCCAAAACCCCAAAACCCCATATGAAAAATATCAATAGCCTAATAATGTTTGAGTAATTAATAAATGATTAAAATTGTGTCTATTTATTTATGAATTCGCCAAACTTATTGGAGACTGAATTGATTCAGTTTTTCTTAATGCTTGGACCATTTTTTTGATTCTTTGGCTTCTTTTCCTTTTCTATTTCACACTCTGGGAACTATCTATCCTGAGTGAAAAGATTTTTGCAGAGGAAATTATAGAATCTATCTGCATATGTGTCTGGAGGTACACAAGAAAAACAGTCTTTTGGCTTTTCCTTGAAGTATTTTCTAAGAGTTACAGTTTCCAGTTATTTTCTTCTAGTGTATGCCTAAAGGAAATCTATTACTCCAAGTCTATAATAGAGGTTCGGATTATGTTCATGTCTATATTCTATAAATTCATTTATTCTTGGCTAAGTTTGTGACAATCTGTTTATTGAGGATGATCCATCATTGCTGTTGTCACGCTCCTCATTATTTGGTTGCCATTCGTCGAAAATACTGTTTCTTTGAAGTGGTCTTGCATCTTAGTCCTCATCAAAGATAGTTCTATTAGTTGGTTAGAGATTATTAGTAGTTGGATGATGGATTGGTGATTTGTGATGGCCTGAATTATAAGTCTCTGGCACCTCTTCCATCTCAATCTCGTCCCCATTAGCTTCTCTTTTTATGTAAAAGGAAAGCTTTCTATTATTATGGCTTTATGACTCTATGTCTGAAATCTCGTGCTTCTTTAAGAAAATCATCAATAATGAGTAGTCCATTAAATTACATTATTTGAGGAATTCCTTATCCTTTTGAAGTCTCTATTGGAAATCTTTCTTTACTTTTTAGTCTACTTTCATAAAGAATTGGGGCTCAAGCAAAAAGTTAAGATCTTTCTTGACAGTCCTTGCGTTTTTAATTTGCTTAGTACGACGTCTGTGGGTTGAGCCTTTCAAATCATAAATACTAATTATGTCTTCAATATGGTCTCCCATTAGATTATCCATAATAACCACTGAAATGGGCTTCATGAACTTAATTTTGACAGTGTAAATTCCGTAGAATCTAGCGAGCATAGATCTGGGGTTGTTTCTGATGTATTTGTAATATTTTTCAAGAATACCCTTCCTGCATAATAATGTGCACTCCTCTTCTTTTAATGTTTTGATGATAAATTAGCTGTTTGCAGTATTGAAAAAAAAACTGTCAGATTTTCCAGAACCTATATTAAATCTAGTCATCTAAAAATGGTTTTCTTTGGGAGAAAATGCTCTATAACATATTAACCATTCAAATTTACTAAATTAGAGATTTGTCGTGATAGCCTGATTTCATTCTGATTTTCTTAACTAGATTAGGTTCATACTCCTATATTCTAATCTGCACCTTCTTTCCATCTGTAACATCAGATACACATAAGTGTTCATTCTTTCTGAAAAATTCAGACATATCCATGAGATGATTGATGTCATTATCTTTACTACGAAAAATATTATATCAGTAAGTAATTACAGTTAATATCTGAATGCTCTTTTGATAAGGCCAATCCCTAAATTTGGCTATTCATTATCCTACTCCTAACCACTAATAAAGCAATGGCAAATACTCATTAGAACAGTGTTGATGATCTACAAAAATAAAGTAAAGTCTTGAGATAGATTACGAAATAGTTAGTCTTTTACTTGATTGACATATGGTTAAATTTTTCATCAAAGTTAGTGTATGCCTCATTTATCAGGTGTTCAAGCTTAGACTTATCAATAATATCTAGTTCTGTACCTTCTTTCTTGTTGTCACCATTTTCGAAGTCACTATCACTGTCTGAAATGGTTTTCTTGGTCTGACTTTCTTGTTGGAAAACCATTGAGCAAGATTTTTCCTCTCCATCTGAACCATCTTATCCTTCTTAGTCTTGTTGTCTTTTGTTTTAATCCAGTGTATTTGTCCGGATAGGAACGAGCAATGTTTAGTCATCGATCGCGACAGATTTCTTCTTTCCTTTATTTCTTAGTTTCTAAATATATCTTTTAGCCTTTTTGACAAAAACTGGTTCATAAATGGTGCAGCAAACTAGTAAGAAATAAGTAGTGTGATCTAGAATGATATAGCCCTATAAGAATTAACTTGAGTAAATTGATCTAAATTACATATCTAAGTCTCTTAAAACCATCTTCTTTTTCATAGCTAAAATAATCAGAATTCTTAGAGCCGAATAGAACGATAACAACCTACATGCATTGCATAGACATAAGGAATGTCACATAAAAAGCGTATTTTCTAACAAATCTTTGTAACTATAATATTATACGAATAAGTATGAATTTAATTTTAGGGAAGATGGTATTACAGATTATCTTATAATGAACGGCGTTTGCTTGACAATCTTAGTTATGTAGAAGATCTAGAGAGGGATTAGCACGAAAGGAAGCATCATCAAAATATCGTCATCTTAGCCAGGCACAAACATCATACCACATTGCAAATTTTCCTATATTTCATGGATAAAGTCAAGTTAAATTACCTGGACTCCAAAAGTGTTGAATCTAGATACAATAATCATAAGTACTGCTGATACGATGAAAGTAATAGAGTGTATAAAACAAATTAGCTTTTGTAGTCTGTGAATTGGGTCTTTAATGATTTATTGAATAAGCACAGCAAACCACACAGCATAAAACTGTGACATATAGTCGCAGAATACTGAAATAGCACCCATTATTTAACAGGCATTTGTTTAAGGTGACTTGAATTCAACGTTCTCCTTAATTTCATAAAATGGAAGACTTAAATCGTAAATGAATATCTCTTGTATAATAGCATTGATCTTGTCAAACGACTAAAACCCCAAAATAATCAAAAAGAATCTACCCATGTTTCTCCTATAGATGAGTATGAGTAAATACTCTTTTTGAATTTTAAATAAAAAGGAATACCTAGATTTCGGATGAGATAGTTGGAAGGCGAAAGTCAAGCCAGCCAAGCAAAGACTTATTATCGAAGAGAAAATAATAAGGGAGCGGATCCACTGATTCATTCTCAGGTTAGGGTTAGGCTCGTAATAAGGTTCAGTTGTCATTTTATATAGTGTTACCAATATTAATAATATTTCCACAATCTACTTCAATTATAATTCTTGCTATTTCTCTATAAATTCTATTAATTTTCATACTAGGGGTTTTGGGGTTTTGGGGTTTTGGGG